CACGAATTTGGGGTCCCCCCCATTCCAATTTTGACCCCCACCCCAAATTTGGGGTCCCCCCACCCCAAATTTGGGGACCCCCTTCTTAATTTGGGGTTCCCCCACCCCAATTTTGACCCCACCCCAATTTTGGGGAAACCTCCCCCCTCGAATTTTGGATCCCCCCCAAATTTTGGGTTCATCCTTCGTGACCCCCCCCAAATTTTGGGGTCCCCCCCTCCAATTTTGGATCCCCCCCCAAATTTTGGGATAATTTGGGGTTTTCCCTCCCAATTTTGGGATAATTTTGGGGTTTTTCCCCTCAATTTTGGGATAATTTTGGGGTTTTCCCCCCACAATTTTGGGAGAATTTGGGGTTTTTTCCACCCAAATTTTGGGAGAATTTGGGGTTTTTTCCACCCAAATTTTGGGAGAATTTGGGTTTTCTCCACTTTTTTGGGGTTGATTTTGGGGTATTTTCTCTCCTTTCAGAGCGGGACAAGGAGAATCGGGGGTTTGGGTTAATTTGGGATATTTTGGGTTGATTTTGGGTATATTTTGGTTTATTTTGGGTTAATTTTGGGATATTTCAGGTATCTTTTGGGTTATTTTGGGTTAATTTTGGCCGATTTTGGGTGTTTTCTCCCCTCGCAGAGCGGGACAAGGAGAACCGGGGGTTTGGGTTAGTTTGGGATATTTTGGTTTATTTTAGGTTTATTTTGGGATATTTTGGGTATCTTTTGGGTTATTTTCGGTTAATTTTGGGTTAATTTGGGGCCATTTTGGGTGTTTCCTCCCCTTGCAGAGCGGGACAAGGAGAACCGGGGGTTTGGCTTACTTTGTGATATTTTGGTTTATTTTGGTTTATTTTGGGATATTTCGGGTATCTTTCGGGTNGCAGAGCGGGACAAGGAGAACCGGGGGTTTGGCTTACTTTGTGATATTTTGGTTTATTTTGGTTTATTTTGGGATATTTCGGGTATCTTTCGGGTTATTTTGGGTTAATTTTGGCCCATTTTGGGTTAATTTTGGCCGATTTTGGGTGTTTCCTCCCCTTGCAGAGCGGGACAAGGAGAACCGGGGGTTTCAGTTAGTTTGTGATATTTTGGTTTATTTTAGGTTTATTTTGGGATATTTCGGGTTAATTTTGGGTTAATTTTGGCCGATTTTGGGTTAATTTTGGCCCATTTTGGGTTAATTTTGGCCCATTTTGGGTGTTTTCTCCCCTCGCAGAGCGGGACAAGGAGAACCGGGGGTTTGGGTTAGTTTGTGATATTTTGGGTTATTTTAGGTTTATTTTGGGATATTTTGGGTATCTTTCGGGTTATTTCGGGTTAATTTTGGGTTAATTTGGGGACATTTTGGGTTAATTTTGGCCGATTTTGGGTGTTTCCTCCCCTCGCAGAGCGGGACAAGGAGAACCGGGGGTTTGGGTTAGTTTGTGATATTTTGGTTTAACTTAGGTTTATTTTGGGTTTATTTTGGGATATTTTGGGTATCTTTGGGGCTATTTTGGGTTAATTTTGGGCCATTTTGGGTTAATTTTGGCCCATTTTGGGTTAATTTTGGCCGATTTTGGGTGTTTCCTCCCCTCGCAGAGCGGGACAAGGAGAACCGGGGNCATTTTGGGTTAATTTTGGCCCATTTTGGGTTAATTTTGGCCGATTTTGGGTGTTTCCTCCCCTCGCAGAGCGGGACAAGGAGAACCGGGGGTTTCAGTTAGTTTGGGATATTTTGGTTTATTTTAGGTTTATTTTGTGATATTTTGGGTTAATTTGGGGCCATTTTGGGTTAATTTTGGCCCATTTTGGGTTAATTTTGGCCCATTTTGGGTGTTTCCTCCCCTCGCAGAGCGGGACAAGGAGAACCGAGGGTTTGGATTAGTTTGAGTTTATTTTATGATATGTTGGGTTATTTTGGTTTATTTTAGGTTTATTTTGGGTTAATTTTGGGATATTTTGGGTTAATTTTGGCCCATTTTGGGTTAATTTTGGCCCATTTTGGGTTAATTTTGGCCGATTTTGGGTGTTTTCTCCCCTCGCAGAGCGGGACAAGGAGAACCAGGGGTTTGGGTTAGTTTGGGATATTTTGGATTATTTTAGGTTTATTTTGGGTTAATTTTGGGCCATTTTGGGTTAATTTGGGGCCATTTTGGGTTAATTTTGGCCGATTTTGGGTGTTTCCTCCCCTCGCAGAGCGGGACAAGGAGAACCGGCACCGCAAGCGCTCGCACAGCCGCTCGCGCAGCCGCGACCGCAAACGGCGCAGCCGCTCCCGGGAGCGCCGCAACCGCGACCAGCGCAGCGTGTCCCGCGACCGCCGCCGCCGCCGGTAACTGGG